CCTGGACGGGATGGAGGACTTGGGGTGGTGGGTGCAAAACACTCCTGAGTGTGCCAAACTTCAGCCACAGTGGGGGTGGTGAGATCCTCTTGGCTTCCCTGGGGACCTCCTGGCTCCAGTGGGAACCTTCTGGCTCCTGTGGGATTGTCAGAGCCCACCTGTTTTACCTCCTCTCCTACCAGGGCTCTTGGATATCTTGGGGTCCTGCATGTGCCAGAAAATTCTGTGGGAAGCAATATCTGAATCCATGCTGCTTTCCCTAAAATGAGAATTCCAAGAAAGTGATGTACTCATCCAGAAATTGTGCACTCCCCAAAAAAGTGATGCCCTGCCCCAAAACCAGCTATGCTGGATGTAGCACCTGAGCACACTCAGCAGTGAATCAGCAGCCTGGGGGCAGCTGTTCCAAGTTATTTTTGTTTTAAATTTAAGGCATCTGATGGAGTCCTCCACTCAGCAAGAGTGGCTGGTGCTTGGGAATCCACAGGGAAGTGTGGACAATATTTCCCACATGGCCCTGCCAGCCCTCAGAGCCCACCAGGCATCAGCTGGGTCAGGCAGGGGGAGCAAAACCCACAGAAACTGTCACCAACTTCATCCACAGCTTCAGCTCGGACTCGCAGAGCTGCATTGGGAATGGGTCCGTGCACCTCTCTGGGCATGGAAATCGGTGCTGGCACGAGGGCACGGATGCAGATGGAGAGGCAGGGAGCAGGCAGGGAGCAGCCAGCCCCAGCACGGACACTCTTTGCCCCCTTGGGACGCAGAGATCCCGAGAGGAGCGGGATGAAGCTCCGAGGATGTCAGGCCAGGACTGTGCTGAGCTGGAGGTGGGATGGGCTCTGGAGGCCGGGCAGAGCAGCGGCCGATGGCTGCAGGGGGAACAGAAAGGCCGTGAGCCGCTGGCTGCCACACGCCAGGAACTGCCCTGGAGCAGAGCAGAGCCCGATGAGTCAGAGGGCTCGGGCACAATGGGAAGCGCAGGCTCAGCAGGGCTGGGGACACGCAGGGACGGGGACATGCCGGGATGGGGCCTCAAGGCTGCAGCACCCTGAGCAAACCCTCCTCCAGTGCAGACGTGGAACAGAGGGAAAAACGTGGCTTTTGCCGCGAGGGAGAGGAAGGAAATGGGTGAACTCATGGCTCTGCCACGCATCCTCCCTGTCCTGCACTTCCCACTGGCGCTGGCAGGGTACCAGGGACCACATCCCAGGCCGGCTGCTTCCCCAAGGCACCCCCACTTCCCTCCTGCCCACTGCTGCCTTCTCACTTCTGCAGCCTTTCCCGTTTTATAGATTCCCTTTTTTTAAAATAAACCCCAAAAAAGCAAACCCAGGAGAACAAGAGGAATAAAGAAATAGCCACTGTTTTACCTCCTGATCTGAATCACCCCAATGAGGACTCGGCTGCTCCCACATTCCCCATGGGAGCTGGTGAGGGCAGGAATAACTCACACAGGATAATTACAGGTCTGAAGATGGAGGTGCTGCCTGGGCATGAGGTCCCACAGCTCACAGGGATGGGAAACACCTCCCATGGCAAACCCAGGGTGTACTCAGACATCCATCCCCCAGGGGAATTTGGGAAACATCCTCCAAAAACATCTCCACAGGCCAAAATGGTTTTGATAGAATTTCAGCCACTGCTTTCTCTGCTCATTGTCATCTTTCTTCCACTTCACATAGGATGGTGGCTGGGAGAAGAAAACAATGAACTTGGACATAAACATGGATCACCATCACCCTGGAGGTCCATCACTCCCTGGGGCTCAGACTCAGGGCTGGAAACCACAGCTCTGGCTGCCCACAGGGGCAGGAATGGGCGCTCCAGGGCCTCTGTGCTGCACAAACCTCATGCTTTGCATGGCCTCAGAAAAGAGACCTTCTTTTTTTTGTTTCAGGATGTGAAAGGAGACCACAAGACCGTGGTCCCACAGCTTCCCCAGCCCAGGATGACAGGACACTGCACCAGCAGCAAGCAGATCAAACTGGTACCATTTCAGGAGGGAAAGGCTGGGATTCCTCCCCTGGCATCCCACATGCCACACAGGCACTCAGGGGCAGTGCTGGCAACATGTGCTGGGCCAAGGAGCCACATCCACACCACCACCATCACCAAGGAGTGTCCCCATCCCCCTAGTCAGGCTGCCAGAACACCTGGGGTTTGAAATCATGAAATCCCTGAACAGTTTGGGGTGGAAGGGAACCTCAAAGCTCATGTTGTTCCACTGTGTGCCATGGCAGCGACACCTTCCACTATCCCAGGCTGATCCAAGGCCTGTCCAGCCTGGCCATGGGCACTTCCAGGGATTCAGGGCCTGCCCACCCTCACAGCCAAAAACTTCTCCCTAATATCCAGTCTAACCCTGACCCCCGGCAGTGGGAAGCCATTCCCCCTGGCCCATGCCCACCTCCCATGGCACCATGAGGTGGGGGGCAGGTGCAGCAGGGATGGGAGAGCCCCTGGATGTGACCTCCTGTCACTGAGCTGTCACCCTGCCGTTGTCACTGTGCCGTTTGCTCCTTGGCTGAGGCTCAGGAAATGGCACAACAGCAGCAGCAGCCACAGAACCAACGCCAGGCACCGTTTAACGGAGCTGTTTGCCCAGGCACCGGGAACCCTCCGCAGCTGGGTGGAGCAGGAGCAGATCCACAGGAATAAAAACCCTTTTCCCTAATGCTGCAGGAAAGCATCATTTTCTAAAAGGAGAATCCATTTGTCCAGGACTACATGCCACAGAAAATGATTACACAGCTGGGGAGGACACTTTCCCAAGCAAAGCCACCAGCCCTGTGGGATGTGTGGGAGCAGGTCCTGGCCTCACACAGTCCCAGGGGCTCTGCAGCAGCACCAGGAATCACTCATGGATGGCCAGATCCAAACACCAGCCCTCCTTCTGGCAGCTGCCCTGTCCTAGAAAAGGGACAAATACCCATGGAGCATCACGGGTCCTGCAGTTTGTGACTGATACCATGACAAGAAGCCATCAGTGATTGATGTGGCTGGTGCTGAGCTGGCATTGCACACTGTGCTCCCTCCCAGACCGCGCGCCCTCGATCCAAGCGGAACTGGAACAGCTCCACCGGCTGTCACAGCCAGGAGTGAGCAGCCCAGCAAAGCCCCAGAGGCACCACGGGATGGTGGCACTGCCACTGCTGTCACCAGAGGGACAGGGCAGGCCAGAGGAAGCCTCCAGGGCTGTGGGGTGACCCAGCACAGGAACACCACGGCTCTCCCAGGAAAATCAAGCGTGACCTCCACACCCACGGCCCACACAGTTTCCCATCGCTTGAGCTGGTGTTGAAACCACACCAGAAAATAATCCACAATTTAAGCCTGACTTCAGGCAAACATCTCAAACTCCCAAATGTCTCTGCCTGTGACACCAAACTGGCTCCCACAGCAGCAGCACAGGGAGGTTTCCTGCTCTCTCTTGTGAGGACACAACCAAATCTCAGAATGGCGAGGCCCAGGGTGGGTACTGAGGTGGGATTTGGTGGATTTGGTGTTGCTGGTTCCCACCACAGCCAGCCTGGAGGCAGAGCCCAGGGATGAACTCTTCTGTGGAGAGATGAGACAGATTTGGGCTGGCATGGCAGGAGGGGCTGCCAGGGATAGGAGTTCTCCAGAGCATCTGCAGAAGAGCCTGTCACAGCCAGACTTCTCCAAAGAGCCCCTGAGTTTAATGGAAGTGGCACCAAAACACTCTCTCTCCAAGGAACCAGGACAAATCCAACTGGGACAAACAGGACAGGTGAGAGAACAGAGAGGTTGGCAAGAAGCAGGATCACAACCTCCCTCGCATCCCATTTCCCACGAGGGCTCCACACCCTTTCCTAGCTCAGAGCAGGCAGCCACCAGCTTCTCCAGACACAGTGGAGCTGAGCCCCAGTAGGATCCCATCCCCCCTTCCCAAAGCCCTTTTTTCTCCCCAAAAAGCAGCTGTTTGACGTGGTGGCTCTGGGGACAGGCGGCCCCTCCCTGCTGCCCTGGTTAGCGGCGGTTTCCTCTCCACAGCTGCGGAGCAGCAGCAGTTGGGTTTTACATCCCCTCGCCGGGTGCAGCGGGTGACGGGAGGTGACGCAGGGGATGACAGGACCCAGCCCCCTCCCACGAGGTCCCTGTCACCCAGGGACAGCCACAGCTTGAGCAAGGTGGGCCCAAAGCTCAGCACAGCAGAGCAGCAGCCAGCAGGGAAGAAAAAGCACAACTTCCTCCCTTCTTCGGGAGAAAAGATCTGAGCCCTGTACAAAAGGAAGTGCTAATACCACATGTCCTGTAGATAAAACACAGTTATTCCATCAGCTCCAAACCCTTGGGAAAGGCTGATCCCTTCTGCATCACCCCCACCACCAAGCGGGGTGCCAGAGTGTCCCAGTGTGACACCATCCCTTTGTGCTTTGGGACATCATCTCCATCACTGCTGGGATTTGGGGATCTTTTCCTCATTTTTCTGGAATAAGAGCTTCCATCAGGGAAACCACGTTGGTGTAAACATTCCAGTAAATCCCTTCCTGCAGGCCACTGGGTAATTAAAGAGCTCTTCTCATTACAAGGTAACAAATAACACATGTGGTTTGACAAATTAGATTCTCGTGTTCGCTAATTATCGCTGCAGTGCTCGGCAAGCCAGGACAGTGTTTTAGGATGTGGGAAGTTTGCAAGGAATTCTCTTACTGGAGATAAAGGGAGCCTGAACTCAGAGCAGGTGCAGGAAACTCCTGGATGCCTGCAAACGAGGCTCCTCCCAACCCACCAGTTTTTTAGAGAAAACTCAGCCCACAGTAACTCCTGCCTCTGTCACAGACCCAACTTCCACAGCTGCTTCCACCACAGAAAAGTGAGGATTCCTGCAGAATTCCATCTCTAAGCCACCACTGTGCTCCAAGAGGCAGAAACACCGACAGCCACAAGGAACCTGCTCACCAGAATAACCTGAAGGTGTTGAACACTGCTGATCTTTACACCGGAAAAGCACGGGTGAGAACAGCAGGCAGAAGGATTTTGCACAGGCACGTTTTATCTGTGCAGGAACCGCGACAGCGCCAGCTCCTGGAATGAGCCTCCCAGGAAGGAAGGAATCTCCCAGATGCTCTGGGAATGACACAGGAACCACAGGATGAATGAAGAACCCACCATCTGAAACCCATCTCCCGTGCCAAAGTTTTATTGACCGGCCGGTCGAGCCGCTCGCGGTTTTCCCGTCCTCTCGGAGGTTTCAGCGCGGTGCCCTCGGGCGGGCTCGCACCAGCTCACGCTCCCCGCGCTGCCCCGGGGCGGCCCCGCTCCATTCCCCGCCTCCCCGGGCCGCACACGCCGCCAGCCCACCGCTGTCCTGCCGGAAGGCGCTGTCACACACCTCGGCTGCCGAGTCCGAGAAGCCGCTCGGTGCACATGAGTCACAAGCGCACCGCAGACAGTCCCTGTGTGCTGTTATCCCAGCCCCTCTTCTCCAGAGCTCTGCCAGGGGACAGATCCTGCGCTCAAAGATCTCATGATGGGAACTTCTGTCGAGAGAGTTTCACAAAGATGACAGATTTTTAAGCGGCCTGGTTTTGTTTGAGAGCTGAGCCTGCACGTTGTGTCAGCACAATATGCAAAATATTTTCTTCACGCTTCATCAATTAACCCCAAAGTGATCAAAGCAATCCTGGCAGCTGCTGAGTATCACATCTAGAGACTGGTTTTGGGGAGAGGGTGGCACAGCAGAGCCCACGGTGCCAAAACCAGCACTGGGCATTTTATTTTTGTTACTTTGATGCCTCCAAACTCCAGTTTGGAGATCCCACCCCACCAGCACATGGAAGTGGAAGTGTGAAGCTCAAAGGTAGTGCTGAAGAGGAGGGCTGGCACCCGCAGCACCAGGTTTGGGAACAAAGCAACTCCTTTGTACAGCAGGGATCCAGGCTGTGATTCCACAGGGTAATTTCACAGTCAGTCTGAGCTCCACCTCTGGAATGCTCATGTTGTGCCAAGAACCATTCCAGTGGAAGGTATCCCTGCCCATGGCAGGGAGTGGAATGAGATGAGCCTTAAGGTCCCTTCCCAAGAACCCAAAGCCAAAGGGATTCCGTGCACCTACCGTCCGCTTCCTGTGGATGTTCACAATGTGGATGTCTTCACTCCGATACTCCTCGTCGTGCCTCTCCAGGGGAATTTTTTCCAGCTCAAAGTCTCGCTGAAGCAGCTGTTCCACAAAGAGCAGTTCCACAAAGGCCTCCACAACTATTCCAGACATTCCCCCCCCATGCAGCACTTCACCCTCATTTAAACTGCTCCAGCACTAACTCAAAGCTACAGGCACCTGCAATACTCCAGAAAAATCTATTTAAAGCTTGTGGCAAAACACTCCTGGAGGGATTTAAAGGCTGTGTGGATTTGACACTTGGGGACATGGATTAGTGGTGGCCTTGGCAGTGCTTGGGGGATGGCTGGACTTGATGATCTCAGAGGACTTTTCCAGCCTAAATGATTCTGTGAATCCATGATTTTGCTTCAATCCCTGAAATGCTAAGGCAAACCACAGCACCTGCCCGTCTGCCAACCTTCTAAACTAAAAGGGAGAGGGCAGAAAAAAGCCAGTCTAAAATCCCTCAGCATCAGCTCTGGGATGTGCTCAGATTGCCTGGGCTGAACCTGGCAAGGAAGGAAATAAATCACAGAAACACCCCCAGAAATCAGCCAGAAACACCAACAGCTCTTTATTGTGGGAGCTGAGCACAGCCCTCCTCCCTGCCAGGGCACCCACAAGAGTGTGAGGCACTAATTATCAAACAGGTACTTCAATTGACATGTACCAATCCCCTGGAATTCTCACCCTTTCCCTTTTTATACAATATTATAGTTATTATATATAATCCTGCCCAAGAGCTGCTTCTCAACAGTCACCACAGGTGCAGAGTTCAATCTGCACTGACCATCATCCCCCCACAGGTGCTCCCTGTGTGGCTTCTCCTCATCTGCACACCAGATACAGCTGGACTATTCAATTAAAACATCTATTAATGGGCTCTCATTAGAGAGAAGGAATTTTTTCAGAAGCATCTCTATCACTCAGGAGAGAGTTTTGAGTTCCTGAGCAAAACTTTGTGTTTTCCCTTTGCTGTCCATGGAACAGCCTAAAAGAAAATGTGCTTAAAAACCACTTACTTCAAAGTATTTTCTCTCAATTTCAGGGTTCTTCCCCATAGTCCTCTGTTCATAGCAGCACAGGACACAAGTGTCAGGGCCTGTCAGGTCCTTCAGGGTCTTCAGCAAGGGCTCCAAGGACTGCCCAAAAAAGGTTAAACATTTCCCACATGGATTTCAAGTTCATTTCACTGGTTACGATACCCTCTAGCTAAAGTCTTCACCCAAGAGAGAACCTCCCAGTTTTGCTCTGCAGGGAGATATTTTTAGTACTTTAACTGGGACAGGAAGAACATGGGGGGAAAGCTGGGAAGCAGAGGAGAAAGGGGGACTCACAGGAGAAGAGTTTCCCTGACTGACCAAGAAAACTGAACTGGAATCCAAGCCAGAAACATCCCACACTGCTGAGTGGGCACTTCCTTGGGGCGAACAACAATGAGGATTCCTCAGTGTGTTTCAAAATTGAGTTTTCTCAATTATTCCTGGAGGATGGCTCAGATCCAGACCACAATGGAGGGAAATGGAACCAACAGGCAGGGACTCAATGCCAGGGGCTGGTAAAGCCACTGGAAGGGCACTGGAACATGGGGTTTTTCCAGGTTATTTCCCTTTTCCTGCAGCTTCCCTCAGCTCTCTGTGCACATCCTACAGAGCTCCAGCAGAGGACACGAGGCAGACTACAACAATCACTCAGCTCTAGCAGGATTTCTCTTCTTGCCTTCCCAAGGAAAGCATTAGGAGAACCCGAAAAACAGGTGTAGCACTTTTAAATTTCATTAACCAATGACTTCAACAGTTCACATTATGCTTCACCATTCCCACTTTTAAATTTCATTAACCAATGACTTCAACAGTTCACATTATGCTTCACCATTCCCAATGTTAAAAAAAAAAAGAAAAAAGAAGGGGGGAGAGCACAAATACTCAATTTGGGATTTTTAACATAAAAATAGTCTCTGATTCCATGTCAAATAGCCTTACATGTATTAAAAACGCCTTTTCCAGTCTTGTTCTACATATTCCTATAAACCCCAGGGACCTTGACATGAGCACAATATTTACGTGAACTTCATACTAAACACACTGATCCCACCCCCTTACCAAGAAAGCTTTCTGTAGGGGTTTAACAAAATCCTCATTTACCTCCTCATAGTAAATGCAATCAGCCATGAGTATATAATCAGGGGGAGGCTGAAATTCTGTTACATCTTCACCCCTAAAAAGAACACACAAGAACAACAAAAAGTGAAAAGAAGCTTAAGTAATAACACATACTCAAGGACTAAGCATAAACTACTGTGTTGTCATATTAAGTTTCCCTCCCACAGCGGTGTTTTGAAATTATTTAGCAATTTAACAAAGCCAGTGCATAATCACAGAATCCCAAAATGGTTTGGGTTGGAATGGACCTTAAAGCCCATCCCATTCCACCCCTGCCATGGCAGGGACACCTTCCACTACCCCAGGTTTCTCCAAGCCCTGTCCAGCCTGGCCTTGGACCTCAGGGATCCAGTGGCAGCCACAGCTGCTCTGGGCACCCTGTGCCAGGACCTCAAAACCCTCAGAGCCAGGAATTCCCAATTCCCAACATCCCACCTAAACCGACTCTTTTTCAATCTGTACCCCGAATCCCCGTTAAAGCTGAACAAAGACATTAAATAAAGGCTCATACAAACCATTTCAGTACCTTGGCTCGGACGGACCCTGTGACCAGGTGCTTGTTGTTCTCAATATTAACCATCAACAGCTCCTGCAGCTCCTCCAGGTCTGTGACCGTCACATTGGCCCTGTAAAACACACGTGGTTAGGGAATAACGCAGGGGACACTGCGCACAGCACAGAAAATAGGATTTAAAGGAATCGAAAGAGTCTGAGGGACAAGACAGCGCCGGGCAGGGGCTCCCGCTCACCCCAGCGTGGCTGCCATGATGCCGACGGCGCCGGTGCCCGCTCCCAGCTCCAGGACGTGGCGGCGGGCGAGGGGGCAGGCGCCGGTCTCCAGGAACTTGGCGAGCACCAGCGCGGCGTCCCACACCACACAGCCCAC